CAAGAGCGACCGCGAGTGATGACGACCAGGGGAGCCCCTTCCCCCTTGATCCCCTCTTCCCCCTCCCCCTAGCTGCTCATCATCACCTCCTGTCCCCCCTCCTATATATATATATATATATATATATCGTTTTTTGTTTTATGTTCTCTCTCTCTCTCTCGCTCCCCCCCCCCCTCCCTCCCCCCCTTCAGCCCAAGAGAAACGAGGCTCCTCCTGGGACTCGGTGAGGATGCTCATGCCGAAAGGGGTCTGCAGGGGGGCGGCGCGGGTGGCCTCCTCCTCCTCCTTCTCCTCCTCCTCCTTCTCCTCCTCATCATTCCCCTCCCCCTCATTCTCCTTCTCCTCCTCCTTTTTCTCCTCCTCCTCCTCCTCCTCCTCCTGCTCTGTTTCCTCCTCCTCTCTCCCCCCCTCCTCCTCCACCTCATACACCACTTCTCTCGTTTCTCTCCTCCTCATCCCCTCGACGTGAGGAGAAGAGGAACAGGAGGAGGAGGAGGAGGAGGAGGAGGAGGAGGAGAAGGAGGAGGAGGAGGAAGAGGAGGAGGAGAAGAGGAGGGGATGAGGAGAAGGGGCACGAGGACAAGCAGGAGGATAAGGACGAGACGCAGGAGGATAAAGTGCCTTAAGCGCCGCCATGCCCCGCGGGCGGCGCCAGGGCCCTGGTGGGGCCTTGCCAGAAATCGGCTGCGGGCGGCGTGAGGGGGAAAGAGGACGACGACGATGGCGGAGACGGAGGAGGACGACGACGGCGGAGGAGGACCACGACGACGACAGGGGATGGGAACAAGGAGGGGGGAGGGACGAGGAGGAGGAGGAGGAGGAGGAGGAGAAACATGGGAACGAGTGAGGACGAAGAGGAAGAAGAAGGATCGAGCACGACGAGGAAGGAGGACAAGGAAGGAGGAATAGTACGCAGAAGGGAAGAAGAGAAGGAGGAGGAGGAAGAGGAAAGCGAGAGAAAAACAAGATAATGAATTCCGACATAGGTGTATACCGATTCTCAGAATTAATCAACCGAAGCGGAACATGTCGTGGTAGGCCTACAGGAATGCCAGGACGGTCGGTCCCTGCTCAAATCGTGCTACAACATATCTGTCACTGTTTTTGATCAACCCCTGGCGCGTAACGGCTGTGCCCCGGGCCGACACCCTCGGGCAACTGTAAAGATCGTGCGTGCGGGGGGCCCGGGCCCCCTACGCTTGCTAGTGTTCGCGCGCGTACTCCGGCGATCGCAGCGCAACCCCGGCCGTGCCCAAACGTTATTGTTACCCGGGCCCCCCCCTGGGCAACGACCGTTACTTGCAACAATAACGAACCGACCTTTTTGGACAACCCGGGTTCAGCCACGCGCAGACGGGGTTAGGGGGAGGGAAGGCGCGTGAATTACCCGTAGATGTAAGGCCAGCGCGTGCTGCGACGCAGCCTCCTCCAAGAAGCCTTTCCCCCTCCCCCTGCCCCCTTGTGTCTGGACGCCCGACATGGGCACCGAAGGAATGGGTACAATGCCCAACAGCAGTTCCTGTTCATTTTGAACAGGACTCGCTGTCCGCGCCGCCGCGGCCTGTGTCCATTCGAGACAGGAGGCCGCCCGCACAACAGCGGCCGCTGTTGGTTTGGGACAACATTTGCTGTTGGGCATAGTACCCATTTCGGGCGTCCAAATTGTGGGTGGGGGGGGGGTTCGCCCAGGCGCTGTTCGGCCTCGATTCGAGCCCTGTGGCACACAGCCGCCGCGCACTGAGGGCGCTCCGACACGGGGTGCGGCGGACCTACGAGACGTCGTGCCTGCAGGGGCGCCGTGCCAACAGAGTCTTTCCGGGAATTGCCGCCAATCTGTAAGAACGGTTTTTTGAAGGCAGATCTGCCTTCAAAGAGGAAAGACTGGTCTACTCTGTAAGAACGGTTTTTTGAAAGCAGATCTGCCTTCAAAAAACCGTCCTTACAGAGTAGACCAGTCTTTCCTCCTTGCAGGTAGAGTGCGAATCCAGAGCCATTGAAGGCAGATCTGCCTTCAAAAAACCGTTCTTACAGAGTATCCCAAGACTCAGAGGAGGAAAAAGGTACCTATACCTCCACCCTTGCCTCGTTTTCCCTTGTTGGGCCTCTCGCCACCGCTGGATGCTCCCCCAAATCCGTGTCAGAACGCACCCCGGGAGAGGTCGGGGGAGCAGTGGTATCGTTATCTTTTTGCTTCCCCAGGGACCTCTCTGCAGAAAGCGTTGACAATTGTGCACCACCACCGCAGTGCCCAGCCAGCGCGATTCTGAGCCCTGGGATGGTGCATGCGCCCTTCTAGCCGAGACCAGGAGGGCTCATGATCCACATCATGGACCCACATGCCCCCAGCGAGGCCTGCTGGTGGTGCACGGGTGCCTCCTGCGCACGACTGCGGCATCAGCTCCCTTTCATACAGTCAGCGCGCCTTAGTAAGGACGCGCGCCTTCATCTAGGATGCCCTTGCGTCCTTGCCTCTGTGGCCCGCCCTCTGCCGCTTTCACGGGTCGCCGCCGCCCAAGAAAAATCCCAACTTCCGCCTGCGAGGGTCTTGCGTCCTTGCCACGCGTCCTCAGTATACGTTTTGACGGTAATCTCGACCGCAGCATCTCGGTCCAACACGCTTGGGCGCGCGCGCGCGCGCGCTCGGTGGAGCCGACCAGCGCTGGAGGCCCAGCGGGGTGCGGGGGCGCCGCCCCCGCCCTCTCCCCAGGGCCAAGGCCAGACCTCCACGACGCTCAGAGGATAGCAACGAGTGGTGTCGGTGCCCTGTCCTTCCAGGAGTCCCCGCCCTCTCCCCGGGGCCACGGCCAGACCTCCACGACGCTCAGAGGGTAACAACGAGTGGTGTCGGCACCCTCTCCTTCCAGGAGGCTCGTGCCGAGCGAAGGGGGGGGCGAGGTGGAAGAGGGGGGGTACGAGAAAGCTGCAGCTGGCTCCGGCCACGCGCCGCCACTCGCGCCCTCCCCTACACAACATAGCCGCCGATGCCTCTCTCTATATAATGGCGGTGCGTGTCTCGTATTCTTTCTGTTTTTGTCCAATATAGGATGGTACATTGTTGGCAAAGCTTTAAGTAACGCATCAACTCGTAAGCATCTGTATCGGGACTGATCATCGCAATTTCCACGTTTGTTGGCGCCCGGAGGCGCCGAAAAACAGGCTGCATGCAGCTGATGCGCTACACCGCCCCGTTCACTTACCTCCCCGCTCGTCCACCGCGCGAGTCCCAGAGTGAGGAGACGCAACACCGCCCCCTCCACCGTTGGGCAACCTCCAGCGAGGGCGTCCATGGTGCCTCCCCGAACTGAGACTGGAGGTGTTTCTCGGGCCGGACGAAAGGGGGGGATTGGGAAAGGGGGGGTTACGAAATTTGCTGCATGCAGCTGGTTTCGGCCTCACCGAGGGGCCCATTCCTCCATACATGAGCCGCCTCCGGCGCCGGGAGGCGCCAGGGAAATCAGCTACGTGAGCTGATTCTCAAACCCCCCCTTTGCTATCCCCCCCTTTCGCCCGACCCGAGTTTCCATGAGACGCCGCCACACAGTGGGACCACACCTCTAGTAGGACCATGCCTGGATCCTCGCTGTGGTGGTTTTGCGGTTGCTCCTGCAGGTGTCGTTGCATTCACCTTCGCCTCCTGGGGGTCCTTGTGGACATGGCTGGATTCGCCTCGGAACGCCAGTCAGGACGCACCAACCATGGGAGAGGTCTGGGGAGCAGCGGTATCGATAGATCTGGCTCCCTCGCGACATCGTAAAGACTGCGGGCGCTCAGTTCACTGAGCCACTTCTATGGTTTTGGTCGGGAGCCTTGAGACGGGGGTCAGTGCAAACGGGAGTCAGCCAGAGCGCCAGATCTTGCAGGATCCTGCGAAGACCCCCTCTGGCTGACCCGGGTTGGCGAGCCGCCTGTGGCCGCGAGGCGGCCGCGCATATTGGCTGACCCGGGTTTGCGAACACCTGCGTTGCAGTTTTTTTTGTCTTGCATCGCAGCTTTTTGGTTCCATGCTGACCCAGGTCTGGATCGACCCGGGTCAGAAGCTCCCCGGTTTGGGACATCGGGCCCCCCATCCAGCAGTTTCGTGCTCGACTAGGGGGCCACATGTGAACCCTGCCCCTACCCCCTACGATTTTTGAGGGGAGGGTGGGGTTCACTCCGCTCGGGAGCTCTCGAACGAAGTGAACCCCACCCCCCCCCCTCGGAAATCGTGGGGGGTAGGGGTAGGGTTCACATGTGGCCCCCTAGGTTTGGGACATCGGGCCCCCCATCCAGCAGTTTCGTGCTCGACGAGGGCCGAACACTCCACGCCAAGACCACCCCGCGAGGCAGAAGCACAGCGGCCGCTCGGCCTCCGCAGGCTCTCTCGGCGGCGTCTTCGGGCCTCCCTCGCCGCCTCTCTGCATCGAGGCCCCCTCGGGTGTGTTTTTGGGGGGCCTCCGGGGCTGCCCCCCCCAGAGGCCTCCCGAGGCCTTCGAGAGCCCCTCCCCCTCGGAGGCATCCTTCGCACGGAGGAGGAGGAGGAGGAGGAGGAGGAGGAGGAGGAGGAGGAGGAGGAGGAGGAGGAAAGGGAGGAGGAGGAGGAGGAGCAGGAGGAAGAGGAGGAGGAGGAGGAGGCGGAGGCGGTCCCGGAGACCTCTCGGAGGCATCCTTCGCACGCCCCTCGGATGGAGGAGCAGCGACACCAACACCAACATGGGGGGCCACCTCCAGCCAGGAGGTCCACGATGCCTCCCGGAGCCGGAGGCTGGGGATGCCTCGAGCGAGAGGGGGGGAACACAGCATCAGGGAGACCCCCCCTTGCCTCCTCGCAGTTCTCGCCCTGGTGGTGCTGGTGTCGCCTTTCCCTGTTCCTGCGCCTCCCGCGGCTCTCTCGGCTGCCGCCCCGCCGCGACAGAGAGACGGGTGCCCGGGGACCGTGGTGCCGAGAGAGAGAGAGAGAGAGAGAGCTCCGGGGGCCGAGCGTCGCGAGGGGCCCTCGAGCGTCGGAGGTCCGGGAGGCGGCCATGCCGGAGCGCGACCGCGACCGAGGGGACCGCGACCGAGACCGCGACCGCCGTCGGCAGCCGGAGGGCGGCGCTCCCTTCGACCTGGGCCCGGAGCTGGAGGAGAAGACTCCCCCGCGCCGCAGCGCCCAGAGCGGGGGGCGCTCGTCGACCAACCTCCCGCCGATGCCGCCGCCCCCGCCCGACTGGAAGGGGCCGCCGCAGGGCTACCTGACGCATCCCGGGTACTACGCGGAGGCAGGCTCCGACCGCGGGCGCGGGCGGAGCCGCTCCCGCGGCAGGGACGACGACCGTGACCGCGGCGGGGACGACCGCTGCAGGGACGACCGCGACCGCAGCAGGGAGGACCGCGGCAGGGACGTCCGCCGTGACGACCGCGACGACGACCGCGACGTTCGCCGCGACGACCGCCGTGACGACCGCCGCGACGATCGCCGCGACGACCGCCGTGATGACCGCGCCGCCCGCGGCGTGGACGACCGCGGCAGGGACGACCGCGACGAGCGTGGCGCCCGCGGCGGGGACGACCGCGGCAGGGACGACCGCGACGAGCGTGGCGCCCGCGGCGGGGACGACCGCGGCAGAGACGACCGCGACGAGCGTGGCGCCCGCGGCGGGGACGACCGCGGTAGGGACGACCGCGACGAGCGTGGCGCCCGCGGCGGGGACGACCGCGGCAGGGACGGCCGCGACGAGCGTGGCGCCCGCGGCGGGGACGACCGCGGCAGGGACGACCGCGACGAGCGTGGCGTCCGCGGCGGGGACGACCGCGACGACCGCGGCGGCCGCGGCAAGGACGACCGCGACCGGGGCAGGGACGACCGCGTCAGGGACGACCGGGTCAGGGACGACCGGGTCAGGGACGACCGCGGGCGCAACGACGACCGCGGGCGCAACGACGACCGCGGGCGCAACGACGACCGCGGCAGGGACGACCGCGGCAGGGACGATCGCGGCAGGGACGACCGCGGCAGGGACGACCGCGGCAGGGACGACCGCGGCAGGGACGACCGCGGCAGGGACGGCCGCGGCAGGGGCAGGCGCGACCAGCAGCTCTTCGGCGACCAGCACCTCAAGCATAAGATCAACCGCGGGCGCGCCAATCCTGGGTGCAACATCTACGTGTTCAGAATGCCTCTGGATTGGGACGAGCTGGAGCTCGCGAGGCACTTCGACCACTTCGGGGATCTCATCTCGTGCACGGTCGTGCGCGACAAGGACACTGGCGAGTCGCGCGGCTTCGGCTTCGTCGGCTACTCGGAGCCAGAGGCGGTCCGGAAGGCGATCTTGGGCATGGACGGCCTGCCAGTGGGGCCAGCGCTGGAGCTGCCAGGCTCAGGAGGGAACAAAACATACAGACACAAGTAACCGTCGATCTCTAGGAACAATGGGAAACATTGAAAACTGGATGGGGGAGACGAAGATCAAGAACATATGAAACAATATGGGGGATCCATGCTTTAATGTATGTCTATTCAGTTGTGTGTCTCTGGGCCCCTCTCCAGGCAAGTTCCTGTCCGTCAGCCCGAAGAGGGGGGAGGAGCACCTGCTCACGCCGTTCCCGGAGTGCTACCCGCCCGCGGGCACGTACGGCACGGAGCCCCCGAACACCCGAGCCCCGCCAGGGGCCAACCTCTACGTCTACAACATCCCAGAGGATCGGGACGATCGCATTGGGTACGGAAACAGTGGGCACGAAGTCCAACAGCAGTTCTTGTTCCTTCTGAGCAGGGCTCGTTGTCGGCGTCGCCGCGGTCGTCGTCCATTTGGGAGGAGGCCGCCTGCCCAGCAGCGGCCGCTGTCGGTTTTGGATCGTGTGATTTTGTTGGGCTTCGTATCAATGTTCTTCGTACCCATTGCGGGCGTCCAAAGAGGAGTGGAGGGACATCGATCTCTACAGGCACTTCATCCACTACGGGCAGCTCACGAGCGTGAAAGTGATGATGAAGGACGAGAACAGGGAGAGTCGGGGGTTCGGTTTTGTTGGCTTCGTCAACCCGATCTCGGCGCAACGAGCGATGGCTGGGATGAACAATATGTGCATGAACGTGGACGGCTCTGGACGACGGCTTCAGGTGACGCCGAAGAGGGGCGAGGAGACGGCTGCACGGAAGGTCAGGGCCGAGATCGCTTTCAAGGACCCAGCACATCCAGACTACCAGAAGGAGCCACCCGAGGAGATCATGGGCGGAGCAGCATTGGCACAAAGCTTGGGAGTCAGCGCGCACTAGTGATTTGTCTTGCTTAAAAAAAAAACATAAGTTCGCACGGGAAGGGCCACTCAGCGGGGGCCAGCCCCTCACATCGGACTTCTTGATTCGTCCTGCTAGCAGGAGGAGCAGAGAGGAGAAGGGAGATGCGAGGAGCAGGAGGTCAGTGCGAGGAGGGATGAGGTGGTCGAATGAGGAGGAGGGAGGGAAGCGAAGGAGAGCGGGCGGAGACAGAACGGAGAAGGGGGGAAGAGGGGCCACAATACGAAGATTGGAGCAAGGAGGGATTGTGGGGAGGAATGGAGACGACGGAGCGGAGGCAGGAGGTGAGGGAGAGTGCAGGATGAAGTTGGGCGTGGAGGCCGGGTGGTAGGGATAGATGAAAAGGAGGAGGAGTTTGGAGTGAACCCCTTAGTGGGCATGTGGCCCGTCTTGGAGTCCTCGTCTTTTGCTCGCCGTTGCCGCTGCTGGTATGTACTCCGCCCGCTTGTTGAAAGGAGTGCAACTCCTGATCCTCCCTTCCTTTCCACATTCTCTCATCCTTCCCTTGTTTCTCCTCCTGTTCGTCCCCTTCTCCTCGAGTTGCTGCTGCTCCTCCTTCTCTTTGCGCCTCTCCTCTCCCTATCCTTCTTTCCGTCCTTGCCCTCCCCACCTTATTCTCGTCTTTCTTCTCGTCATTCTCGTCCGCCTTCTCGACGTCATTATCCTCTCCCTGTCCTCCTTCCCGTCCTCCTTCTCGTGCCGGCATGGGGCACCAGGGCGGCTGCCAGAGCTCGCGAGAGCTGGGGCCACCAGCCACAGTACAGTCGGGGCGCTGAACAAGGAACCTTTTTCGTTGGGGAGGGGCTCCGTGTTCCTTAATTGTTTGCAGCTTGCCTTAGGTTGTCCTTAGGTTTTCGATGGGGAATCGAAGTTTAACGTATGGCAGACAGGGGCCTCGTTCCTTATTTAGGGTTCCTTAGGTCAACGCCCCGACTGTACACCAGCCACACACGAGGGCCGGCCAACCGCGACATGTGGCCCTTCCAGGCCACGAGGGCACCAGCCGCGGGGCACCAGAGCGACAGCCCTGCCCTCGAGCGCCCCAGCCTGCACGGCGGGAAGAGTGGCCGTCAATGCGGCGGTTCGAAGGCAGGGTCCTTAGGGATGGGGACCTCGGGACGAGGTGCCTCGAGCAACGTAAGTCCACCCCTGGAACCCCTTCCTCTCCTTAGGCCTCCATCCCTCGGGACCCTATCTTGGAACAACCGATCGAAAACGGGCCCCCCGTCCAGAAACGGGGCAGCAGGGATTCCGGGGTCCGGCCGGCCCTTGCCTGCTGCGCAGGAGTGGGGGCGAACAGCGGGTTGGGGGAGAGGGGCGGCGCTCGGAGGAGGGAAAGGTACCCATACCTCTACCCTTTGCCCGTTTTCCCTTTTTTGGGGGCCTCCTGGGAGGCCCTCGCTGCGACCGCTGGATTCGCCTCGAAATCCTGGTCAGCATGCACCCCGGGTCTTGGTTTCCCCAGAGGCGGGCGGGGAGAAAGTCGCACCGCCGAGCGGAGCCTCCTTGCCGAGCGCCCCCGGTGCGTCTTCGTCCTGGGCCCTGTGGCCAGCGGCTCGGGCCGGCGCCACATAGCAGGCGCCGCATGGCGAGGCTGCCAGCGGGCCGCCAGGTTGGCGCCACCCAGGGCGCTTGCAAGGGCGCCAGGGCGGCCGCAGCGACCGCCAGCACCAGGTCGCTTGGAAGCCATTAGGGGACCCCCGGGGTTATCATTAGTACCGCACCGTACTTAAATAGTTATTGGAGGGATTTTCGCCGAACGATATAATTAGCACCGCGTAAATGGAATGAAAATCGGTAATTCCCACGCCCTGGCTCAGGTGGTATCCCAAATGGAATTGGAAGAAGAATAGGACATAGAATAAGAATTCAAACATAATACTAATAGTAATAATGATAAGGATATGAGTAAGACTCCCCATCGGACTCCCCCATAGGACTCCCCCACAGCAGACGCGTCTGCGTTCAGAGCAGTTCCTGAGGATGGCTCAGGCGAGGCGCTTGTTTCAGAACCACACGGAGACCAGATGTGCGAGAATGTCTCAGGCGGTTTGCTTGTTTCGGCGGGCAGACTCGTCTGCGTTCAAAGCAGGTTGCGAGGTGCCAGGGTAACGCTTCCAGATTGCCGTATGCGTTATACTTTCGCCGGAGAGGAGGGGGATTCTTAATTGCTTACTCGGTAGCTGCCTCGGCACGCGCGTTCCGATACGCCACATGTGCCGTGCTCAAAACGTCCGTGTCAATACCCTGCATGTTGGCTCAGCGAATTGGCCCGCGTTTTGGTGAGCGTATCGCGTCAGACCTGCGTCTTCAGTTTACGAGTTGAGCTCCATATCAATACGCTACATGTTGCGTGTTGCGTATCGGGGCAGCTAAGCCAGGGCGAAAAGAAGAAGGGACGACATTCAAGGCAACAGCCATCGGTCAGAGGAGGAACAGGTAACTCCATACTGCTAGCCTTTCCTCGGTTCCCCCCTTTTGGGCCTCCTCGGAGGCCCTCGTCGCCACCGCTGGATTTGCCTCGCGGCGCCAGCCAGTGCACCATCCGGCATCGCGGCGCCAGCCAGTGCACCATGGGCCACCAGCAAGCGGGCGCCAGCCACGGGGCACCGAGGCGGCAGCGAGAATTTGGGGGTGGCAGGCCAGGGGGCGTATTTATCACGTGTGGATTTTCATCCTCCCCGAACTCCCTTCGTGGCCAATTGGGTCCAAGCATGCGTTGCTCTTCTGCCCCTTTGGTCCAGCAGCATCTCCCCTTCTGCGAGGCCTCGTGCATCGGGTGGGAGGGGCCACCACGTGTTGTCAGTTTAGCGCATGTTCTGCGCGGGCCGTGTTGGTTGCACATCGGAGCCGAGACGGGGCAAGTGGTAAGCTGCGGCCCAGGTGCGGACAGGGTACCCGTGCGTTTGGGCCCCCAATGATACACATTGTCCCTCTTGGGACTGAGTTGGTTTGGACACGTAAGCTGTGTGCCGCTGCCTGGTTTGGCCAAGGCGCGGGAATTTAATTCGCATTTATCCCGGCACCCAGACAGTTCTCGAACCGTTCCGAGCATCCTTTGGGCCCCCACTGGTCCTCGCGATGCATTGCATTCCCCCCCCTGGGCCCGTGCTCCACGCACGTCTGTCCTTGTGGTAACTCATTGACGGGGTTCGGATTGTCGTTACAGGTCTCGTGACTGAGCTGGTTTTTTTTCCCTTCTGACTGGCCACAAGTCGAAGAATACCCACAGTTGCCCACAATTGCCCATAACCCCCAAACTGCATGCCCACAACTGCATGCCCACAACTGCCCATCACCCCTCGCTGATGCAGTGCATCGGTTTTTGGGCCCCCCATGGCGGCGCCTCTGTCGCCGCGCCCGGGCGCGCTCCGCGCGCCGAGGGGGCGGTCCATCGCGGAGCTCTCGCAAGTGTTTTTTTTGTTGCTGGTCCGCAGGTCGAGAGCGCACCTCTTCAGGTCGAAGCTGAGCGGGCCGCGCACAGCTTGAATGAACGAGAGGGGGGGCAGAAGGAGGGGCCTCACCTCAAGGCCAGGAGGGGGCAGGGCCCCGGAATCGGGCGATGCCGAGGACGATGTGCTTACAAAGGAACGCCTTGGACAGGAACCCGGCGGCGGCGGATCTCTCACAAGTCATGCTTATGCTGTGCTTTGTTGTTCCCACGTCAACCACCGAACCAGATCATGCAGTTCACGCGAACAGCCGCGGCCCTCAGCATGTTCTGGAGATGCCGATGCGGCCAAACGTTGGGCCGAACCTCGGCCAAGCTATAGGACCGTGTGCTCCCGCAGCCGTTGCTGAATCTCTTGAGGCAGCAGAAGGACGTCGGACGGAGGAGAAAGAGGAGGAGGGGGCAGAGGAGGAGGAGGAGGGGGGAGGAGGCCCCTCGGGGCCCTCCTGGGGCCTCCTTGTGACTTCCTGGAGGGTTCCTGGGGCCTCTTGGGGGCATCTTCGGGGCATTCTTTGGGCCTCTGGGGTGCTTCTTTTGGCCTTCGGATTTGGGGGGCCTTTTCTGGGCCGTCGTTCATTGGTAACTTTCCGGCCGTATTGGAGGTCAGTGTGGCCGTTTTGGGGTCCTTCTGGGGCTGTTCGGGGACCTCTTGGGCGGTCGCGGGGCCCCTTTAGGCTTAGTTTGGAGGTTGGGCTGTCGGGAGCCCGAAAAGACGCTACGGCGAGACAGCGCCGCCCCTTGCTCTTTCGGGTAGCGCCTCTGGATATTTGGCGAGAGTTAGGCCAAGCCATCGGACGATGGGTTCCCCCAGCCATTCTGGCAATTCTTCAGCGAACACTTGGGAGATGGAGGCGGAAATGGAGGAGGAGGAGGAGGTGGAGGAGGAAGAGGTGGAATAGGAGGCGGAGGAGAAGGAGGAGGAGGTGGAGGAGGAGGAGGAGGAGGAGGAGGACCAGTTCAGTGTGAACAAGCAGCGCATCAGCGATGTTGCCATAGACCCTCTTTTCAAGTTTCCTCCTCACAGGTCCATGAAAGAATGTATGTTCAGTGCGGGAAGTGGGCCATTAGAAAACAACCGTCTGAGAATCCTCAATCGTGCCAAAAAGCCGTTCTTGGGGCTTCAGCGCACAAATCAAAGCGATTGTTGCGACCAGACGGTCCTAAATCATTCCAGAACGCCGTTCCTGTGACTTCAGCACCGCGAGCCAAAGCGACTGTTGCGTCCTGACGGTGCCTTCGCCCCCGATCGCAATTCCTGGGATTGCGATCGCTCGAAGCCTTGAAATGATTGCAACCTTACTGGGCGGATGTGCGCGGCGCCAGGGCGAGGGCCACATGTTGAAAGCGGCCTGCCCTCCATCCCTGAAGCTGTCGCACACTTTCAAGACGGATGTCGCGGCGCTGGGGCAAGAGCCACGCTTTGAACACCACCCGCCCTCCATCTTTGAAGCTGCTGTAAGCTGTTCAGACGAATGTGCGCGGCGCTGGTGCGAGAGCCGCATTTTGAAAACGACCCGTCCTCCATCCTGGAAGTTGCTGCAAGCTTTCACGACTAGGATGCGCGGCGCCGAGGCGAGAGGACCCGCCCTCCATTCAAGAAGGTCTTGCGAAGTTCAAGCTTCAGGTTCAGACGTGGCGAGGAAATCTTGGGCGAAACGCCCGGCCCGTCCTCACGACACGCCTGGGGGTGCTACAGGGAGCAGTTCTTCATGAGGGAAACGGATGGAGGAGGAGGAGGAGGAGGAGGAGGAGGCCTCTTCGGAGTTTCTTGGGGCCTCCTGGGCACACCTTGGAGGCCTCTTGGGGGCCTTCGGGGGGCCACTTTGGTAGTTTTATGGTCGTCCTGGCCTCTCACGCCGACGGAAGCCGTCTCGTGTCCATTTTTGAACCGACTTGCGGCCACTTGAGGCGTTTCAGGGCCGTCTTGAACGCTATCTTGAGCGTCTTGGGGGTCTGTTGGGCCGTCCTGGGGCCCTGTTGGAGTCGTCATTGAGCCATCGTGGGCCGCCGGAAGGCAGACATATCGCAAACGAGCATAACTGTTCAAAACCCAAGGGAAAATTACGTAGTTTGTCTCCTTCGGGCCTTCCTGGAGGACCTCCTGGAGGCCTCTTGGGCCGTCTTAGAGGCCTCTTGGGGGCCTCTTTGGCCGTCTTGGGCCATCTTGAGTCCATCTTGGGCCGTCTTAGGTGCATCTTGTGGCGGCTTGGGGACATCTTGCGGCCATCTTGGCTTCTCTTCAGGTCATCTTGCGGTCATCTTGCGGCCAGTTGAGAGCAACATTGGCGGGGTTTTCTGGGCGGCCGGTGGGTTGGGCCGAGACTCCATTGGGAACCTTTTTACATGACCCTGGGACTACATGCCGTCAACCTCTGTGGCAAGCCACAGGTGGTGGCGGATGTTTGGCCTTCGGCCTATCCCGCCACCGCGCCGGGGTTGCCAACAATGGGCTCTTGGGTCCCCGGGTCTCTGGACCGTGAGATGTATTTTGGGAGCCTCCTGGGGGCATCCGGGGAGCCTCTGAGCGCCTCTGGGGGCCTCCTGGGCTCCTCACTCCTCTCGGGCGTCTGCTGGTCGTCTCGGGAGCCAGCTTGGGACGGATGGCTTCGCTTGTGAGCTCGAGTTTCCTCCTTTGGGGCCCGACTCGGGGAACTCTTGGAGCAGTTGGGCCCCTCCTTGGGGGTATCGGGGGCCGTCTTCGGGCAATATCGAGCCCAAATCTAATTCAGCCTGCTGGCCAGAAGTGCAGATTATGTTGAAATCCCACTTCAACTAAAGATTTTCCTCTGGTTTTAGTGTCTTGGCTCGCAGGGCTTCAAAGACGGCCCGGACGACCTTCATGAAAACACCACAGCGGCTTTGTGGGGCCGTTCTACAACCACGCGGCCAGGGACCCAGGAAAAGGCACGCGACAAGCCCTGGATGCGCCCGAGGGCGCTCATGACCAGTATTGGTAGCACCCCATGCATACATGCATACAGGACGATCGCGGAATCGTGACAAAACGATGCAAAAACGACCTTGCCGCTTTCGGGGCCAGTCTGGCCAGATCACCGTCATGTTTCCCAGCCTCTACCTCGATGGTGTTCACGAATATGTAGTATAGTTCTCGCTACTCTCCCCCTATCCATCTTCTCTCCACGGAAGTGCGATGACAGGGAAGCCACCTTCCCCTCGGGGTTGCGCCTGAGCGGCCTCGATCCGTCGTCTCTCTCGATGTGCGCTTGGTCTTCATCCTCCCACTCTGTTCACCCCGTCCCCCTCATTATCCCTTCTTCCCCCTCCTCTCTCCTTTATGTCTCCCCGTCATATCGCAACTCCCCATGCTTCTTCGGATCGTTCGACGACGATTTCTATCCTCCTGCCCTCCCTTGCCCACTTCCACTATGTGCTCCCCGTCCCTCATGCCATCCCTCCTCCCTGTCCGCTTTCTGCCCATCAATCTTCCTTCCCTTCCCTCCCCCTTCGCCTCCACCTTTTGCCCTCCCCCTCCTCGGTCCCTGTCTCCCCCCCCGTCATGCTCCCCACCTCACCATCTAGTCCCGACGACGGCGGCGGCGGCGACGACGGCGGCAACGACGACGGCGCTGATGCAGGCGACGACGGTGACGATAACAATGGCGTTTGCGGTGGTGACGTCGGTTCTGACAGCGACGGCGACGGCGAGAACCACCGCGGCGGCGACCGCGGCGGCGACGAGCCCGTCCCGAAGGAGCACTGCCAGCTGCTGAGCCCTGCCTCCCGGGGGGCGCTGCTGGCGCTGCGGCTGGTGCTGCACCCTCCCCATCCTCTGTCGACGGCGGCGCTGTCTCGTGGTCGTTTTTCGTCGTCTTGGAGGTGGAGAAGGAGGGGGGGGAGGAGGAGAAGGGGGAGGAGGAGGAGGACCAATGCAAACCCAAGAGTCGTCAACGACGTTGGAAGAACCCTCCCCTCCAAGCTCCCTTTTCAACGGCCTGTGCAACGGTTCATTTCCACTGGCGGAACTGCCTTCTCGGGTTTCCAACGCCACGGATCGACCTGACTGTTGCGTCTTGCCGGTCCTGAACCGTGCCAGAACGCCATTCGTGCGATTTCACCACCGCGAATCAACGTAACTGACGCACCCTGAAAATCTTGAATCCTTCAAAAACACCATGTCCGGTACGCTGATCATGGGAACCCGTTGAAGTTTTTGTATTAAAATTGGTTGTTCTAAAAAAACCAAATATGCGCGGCGCGAAGGCGAGAGCCACAGATTGAAAAAGAACCTCCCTGACTCCGTGAAGCTCTCGCATTTTTTGAAACGAAGCGAATGTGCACGGCGCTAAGGCCAGAGTCAAGGGCCCTCAATTCGTGAAGGTCCTGCAACTGTTTTAAACGACTGCGCGCGGCGCTGAGGCGAGAGCGACATTTTGAAAACGACCCGCCCTCCATATGTGAAGCTGCTGTAATTCCTTAAGCAAGCTTCAGGGTCATGCATGGTGAGGAAGTCCCAGGCGAAACGCCCACGCCGCCCTAAAAAATTGGCCTCGGGGTACGACAGGGGGAAGCTAGTTAGAAGGAGAAGGAAAGGAGGAGGAGGAGGAGGAGGCGGAGGAGGAGGAGGAGGAGGAGGAGGAGGAAAAGGAAGAGGAGGAGGCGGAGGAGGGAGGAAGGAGGAAGGAGGAAGCAGGTGGGAGGAGGGGTAGCAAGGAGGAGCGGTAGGAGGAGGAAGATCTGGGGGAGGGGGAGAAGGAGCAGGGACACATCTTGTGCAGGATGCAGGACATTTTGATGTCGTGGGGCCCGCTTGAACGGCGGCAGGACCGCCCGGTGACGGGCAACCCTGCCCCCTTGGCCGACGGGCCAACTTCCTTGCGGCGTCTGGCCGCCGCCACTACGGCATCGGGCGGAGGAGGAGGGAGGAGGACGAGGAGGGAGGAGGGGGGATCAGGAGGAGGAGGAACAGGAGGAGGACGAGGAGGAGGAGGACGAGGAGGAGGAGGAGGAGGAGGAGGATTGAGGAGGACTGGGAGAATGAGGAGTAGGATGCAACCCTGGCCCCCCCCCCTTTCTCCGCACAGTGACCCCTTGGGCCCCGCCTTTCCCCGCCCCCACCCCCCTCTGCCCGCTGGCACTCGCACTGCCCCCCGCGGCCTGCCTGTTGCTCCGGAAGAGGGGCGCGCGCGCAGCGAGCGCGGCGAGGTGCCGGAGGACTCGGTCCCGGTGCAGGCCGGGAAGGGGAGCAGGTGCTCCGCTCATCTGGACTGCACGTAAGATTGACCTTTCGCCGGAGTGACCTTGAGTGCGGGCTCATCGGGGTCCCTCCGATCAACGAGTTTGCTGCGTCAGCGGCTGCCCGCGCGCTTGGATTCGGCAGCTTTGCGCCCCCTTCGTCCGCGCACCAAAGGGCACTCTTGCCCAGGGTCACTCTTGCGTGTGCTCCGCTCATCTTCCGACCTCCTTCCTCCCCCCTCCTTGCTCCTTCCTCCTCCTCTGACCGTAGCCATTTTGGCTCAAGGCGCGTAGTTCCTCCCTTGGCTCAATCGGGTAATGGGTCCTGCCTCGTCGCCTCGTCGTGGCGTGCTTGTGGCTACCCACAGCTCTGGTCTCTCCTGAGCGGCGGGTCGGCGCAGGACGGGGCGAGCGTGCCGCGGGAGGTTCCGACAGTTTTCATGCTCGTGGCGCACCTTCAGGTGATAGGTCGGGCCAGGTCCATCTTGAGCTGGGTCATTCCCATCTTCAACTGGTTTCCTGCAACTGCTGTACCTTGTGCATGATCAGCGCATGTGGAAGCACAGCGTTGTACATTACTGTCAGCGTCCACGCGCCTCTGCCGTATGACTTGTGTGTGTGTGTGCTGCACCTCGTCCCGCACGTGCTGGCCACGGTCCGTCCTGGGGTGGGCGAGGTGCCGAATGGCATGTCTCTGAACCCGCTTCAGGCGTCTTTCAAGTTCTGCTCTGTGGCAGTCAGTTTGTGTCGTTTGGTCACTTCGCTCTAATGGTCGCGCGTTGTACTTCAACCGTTCATTTCACGATCGCTCGGTGTGGCCTTTGTGGAGGTGCACCACTTGCATTGGTCATTGTGCAGGCGCCCGATTTCAGATTCCCTGCGTGGCCTGGCGCGGGCGGCTGTTGTGAAGCTACTTATCGCCTTTGGCGGGTGGATTGTGGCTCGGCAGTTATGTTCGGGTGGATCTTGTCTTGCCGTTCGCCCAGCCGCTGGTTTCCCAGCGGTGTCAGGAGATATTTCTCGTATACTTGGGTCGGCCTGCGCTCTTCACCTTAGAGGTCTGCGCGTGGTGCATCTGAGCCTCTAAGTACACTTCGCGTTCAAAGGTGCGATATACCAGTCTACTTGGTTGTCTATTTTCTCGTCGCGCATAGTGTTGTGGCGTATGTCTTCCTCCTTGTTCGGCAGTCGTCGGGCGCAGTTTCTCACTGCATTCACTTGGTATGGTTTTGTGTGATAGTCAGTGTTGTGGCGAGGGACCAGAGTGGCTTCCAGCTCACAAGAATGGTGACGTTCACAACCTTGTCAGCGTTCCCAAGCTGTGTATCTCGGGCCTGGGTGTGCAATGGGTTTGTCACCGCAACACACCATATGGGTGGGATCCTCAGTTTGTCATTGCATGTACTTCATAAGGCCCATTGCTGTAGGACATCCTCGTCTCGTCCGTCTTCTGAGCTTGGGGGGAGGGTGAATCAAATCGAGTACTGGCACCGCCACTAGTTCCTACTCCTACTCCTCCTCCTACTCCTTCATCCTCCTCCCTCCTGCTCCTTCGCCTCTTCCCCTGGCTCCTCCCTGTCGTATCGTCCCTCTCTCCTCATCCTCTGTGTCCTCCTGAACCTCCCTCCTCCTTCCTTCCTCCATTCTCCTTCCTCCCTCCTCCCTCCTCCTCGTCATTATCATTCCTCCTCTGCCTCCGTCCATCCTCCCTTCCTCCTTCTTCGTCATCCTCCCGCTCCCGTCCTCAGGAACGCCAGCCTGGTGGCTGGCAGAAGGGGGCGCATGTACTGCACCGCCTCTCCACGATGCTGCTGCCTGTTTGTCCGCCCCTACCATACATCGTACCCATTGCTGGCGCAGAAGGAAGGAGGAGAGGAACCCCAGGAGGAGGAGGCGGAGAAGGTCTTGGCCAGGGGGAGGAGGGAGGGAGATCGTCGCTAGGAGGAAATGGAAGGGAGGAAGGGAGGGAGGGAAGGAGTGAGGAGGAGGAGGAGGAGGAGGAGGAGGAGGAGGAGGAGGAGGAGGAGGAGGAGGAGGAGGAGAGGGACCTGAGAAGGAGGAGGAGGAGGAGGAGGTGGATCGAGTAGATCTTGGCCAGGAGGAAAGGTGAGGAGGAGTACCTCAGGCCTGGGCGGGTCACCAGGGGCTACGAGGTGACCGCGGGGAGCTTCCTGCCAAGACCTCTTGGCGACGCAGCCAGATCACGACGGGCTTTCCTGCGCGTCCCGTTCGGCACCGCCTGATCCCTGGGCTTCGCCCGCTCCTGGCTGCATGAGGCCCCGCCTGCTCCCGGCCCCTCTCTGCCAATTAAAGCTGTGCGCGTCCCGCGGAGCTTTTAGCGGAAGAGGCTCGCTCTCGCTTCGCAGATCAAAAAAGTATCTCGTGGCATTCTGATCCATCTGGCCACCGTGCCTGGGTTGTTGGTCAGATTCCTTTAGGGCTTTCGTTGGGATGTCGCGGGAGGCCTCTCGGAGAGCCTCTTTTTGGGGCTGGTTTGACGCTTTTGGGGGGCCGCCCTGGAGCCTTTTCGGGTGTCTTCGGGGTCTCTTGGGGGTCTCGTTGGGCCTCTCAGGGGCCTCTTGGGGCCTCTTGGGGCCTCCGTGGGACCGTCTGGGGGCCTCTTGTGGTGGAAGGCTCGGATTTCCGGTTCGTGTTCACCCTCTTGGTCCCGTCCTGGGGCTGTCTTTGGGCCCTCGTGGGCCGTCTTGGGCGCCTCTGGGGCCGTCTTGGAGCCCTCCTGGGCTGTGCTGGGCCCTCCTGGGGGTCTCTTGAGCCGTCTTGGGGCTCGCGCATATTTCACGGCAGGTGCGCTTCTGCATGCGCGACGACTCAGAGGAGGAAGATCAGGAGGGGAAGAAACACACAGACACAATTGATCGTCGATTCCCAACAAACTGATACCGGAGTAAAACCCAATCAGGGCTATAGGGCTATTGGGCTGTAAGGCTGTAGGGTTTCCGGGCTATAGGGCTATAGGTCGGCGGTGACAGTTTTGAAAAGATGTCGACATGCGCGCGCGGTTAAAGCGCGCGAGCGGTCCACTTGGTCTTCTTCGGCGGGGATCGCGCCTCCCCAACACACCCGCAAATGCGTTCGAATGCTCTCGACACGCGCGCGCGAGAGGCCTCTTGGTCGAATTGTACGAAAAGGTCGAAACCGATGGTCTTCTTATGAGTTCGCAAGGGCGCGCGCGCAGACCTTTTTTACGAGAACCGATGCGGCAAAACCGGTTGCGCCGCATACGTTCTGAGCGACTTGACGTTGACATTCCTCGCGCAAGCTCAAACCTTGTTTTAACAGATGTCGGGATGCGTGCGCGACGTCGCGCGGCGCAGTTCGCCTCACGCATCGAAAGTGGTTCTTGAATCATGATGTTTTGGTAGACGGGTTCGCGCGCGAACATGGTTGCGGGGGGGCACCCCCGGGCACCCGGGCACCGCCGGGCACGCCCGGGCCCCCGGGCCCCCGGGCACCCCCGGGCACCCCGAGGCACCAGGGCACCCGGGCGTGCAGCGAAAATCGGCGGCAAACGTAATCTAACCATATGAATCCGCTAGGACCCCTACAGAGGCAAGCTCTGATTGGGGAAGATGGGAAACGATGGGAAGTGGGGGGAAGACAAGAACCCAGAACATCTGGGAAAATATTGGGGATCCTGGTATCTGTGCCTATTTATTTGTGTGTCCCAGGGCCCCGTTCAGAAGATTCGGGACAACGGTAGTTGGCCTTCGGTGGTGGCCCTCGTCGCTGCGGTTGGGGCACTGCTCGGGACATTGGCGTGTGTGGACCCGGGGACGGGCCCAGGGTCCGACTCGGAGCTGTCGTTGTCTCCGCTTGCATTGCTCCAATGACCGACGCGCAGAGCCGGAGCCCGCGCCAGATGCCCTTGTTCCACGGGGGCCGCCCGAGAGGGAGAGAGGGAGAGCGAGAGAGCGAGAGAGGCTCGAGAGAGAGAGCGAGAGAGGGAAAGAGACAGAGAGAGAGGGAGAGAGAGGGCGAGAGAGCGAGAGAGGGAGGGAGAGAGAGCGAGAGAGAGGGGAAGAGACAGAGAGAGAGAGAGGATGGCGAGAGAGGGAGGAGGGAGGGGAGAGTCCGAGAGAGGGAAAGAGACAGAGAGAGAGAGGGAGGCAGGAGGGCGACAAGAGGGAGGGAGGAGGGAGGGAGAGAGAGGTAGAGAGAGAGAGAGAGATAGAGAGGGAGGGGAGGGAGGAGGAGGTAGGTCCCCCGCCCGATCCTGCCACCGCCCGTCGATGGATCGGGCCGGCGAAGGGTGGGATTGGGAATGAGGAGGAGGAGGAGGAGGAGGATGAGGGAGGAGGAGGAGGAGGAGGGGAGGAGGAGGAGGAGGAGGAAGGAGGAGGAAGGAGGAGGAGGAGGAGGAGGAGGAGGAGGAGAGAGGAGGAGAGGATGAAGGAGGAGAGGAGGGGGAGGGGAGGGGAGGGGGAGGGGATGAGGAAGGAGGAGGAGGAGAGGAGGAGGAGGAGGAGTGAGGAGGAGAGAGGAGAGGAGGATGAGGAGGAGGAGGAGGAGGAGAGGAGGCGAGGAGGAGGAGAGAGGAGGAGGAGGGAGGAGGAGGATGAGGAGGAGGAGGAGGAGGAGGAGGAGGAGGAGAGAGGGGAGGAAGAAAGGAGGAGGAGGAGGAGGGGGAGGAGGAGAGGAGGAGGAGGAGGAGGAGGAGGAGGGGAGGGGGAGGGGAGGGGGAGGGGGAGGGGGAGGAGGAGGAGGAGGAGGAGGAGGAGGAAGAGGAGGAGGAGGAGGAGGAGGAAGGAGGAGGAGGAGGAGGGAGGAGGAGGAGCCGAGGGGCGGAGGGGGAAGGAGGGGAGGAGGGGGAGAGGAGGAGGAGGAGGAGGAGAGGGAGGAGGGGAGGAGGAGGAGGAGGGGAGGAGGAGCGGAGGCGAGGCGGAGGCGGAGGCGGGGGGCGGAGGCGGAGGAGAGGAGAGGAGGAGGAGGAGGAGAGGAGGAGGAGGAGGAGGAGAGGAGAAGGAGGAGGAGAGGGGAGGAGGAGGAGGAGGAGGAGGAGGAGGAGGAGGAGATGATAGGAGCGTCGAGCTGGAAAGTCGGCGATACATGGCCGATGGACCGGCGGCAGGACCCGGATAGCGGATCCGAGCGTTCCTGCGCGGGCTGGGCTATCGGGCCCCTGTCGGCGACGAATGGGCGCTTGGGGATCGATGCGTCCCCCACTGGGGCGAGGGCGAAAGTAAGGAGGGGGGGGCGAAAGGAAGGAGCGGGGGTTACGAATCGGCACAAACGAAGTGGGTACGGAGAGAATGGGCACAATGCCCAGCAGCAGTTCCTGTGCATTTTGAGCAGGTCTCGCTGTCGGTGTCGCCTCGGCCTGTGCCCATTCGAGACAGAAGGCCGCCTGCCCAACAGCGGCCGCTGTTGGTTTGGGGCAACATTTGCTGTTGGGCATTTTACCCATTCTTTCCGTACCCATTTCGGGCGTCCAAAACGAAATCCGACTAAACGTAAGAGTGACCCTTCGCCGGAGTGACCTTTGGTGCGTGCCCGTTGGGGTCCCCCGATCGCCGACTGCGGTGCGGTAGTAGCGTTTCGCGCGCTTGTGTTTGGTCCCCCCGCGGCCCTAAAGAAGCCGCGCACCAAAGGTCACTCTTACCCAGGGTCACTCTTGCGTGTAGCCAAGAAATCTGCTGCATGCAGCTGGTTTCGGCGTTTCGGCCCCACCGAAGGGCCCATTCCTCGATACATAGCCGCCTCCGGCGCCGGGAGGCGCCGGGAAAATCAGCCAGGTGAGCTGATCCTCAACCTCCCCCTTTGCTCTCCCCCCCGTTCGTCCAGCATCTGTGACTGAGGGCCCCACATCTGTGACTGAGGGCCCCGGCCCGCCCGCGCCGGCCTTCCAGGCCCCGCCCCCTGGCGGACTCAGGCGCGCCTCGCCTCGCCCTTTCGCCCAGCCCGAAGTAGGCGGACCGGGTGTCGCGAAGGAGTCGCGACAGGCGTCCCAGCTCGCCCGATGGCCGCTGAGTGCTCTTCATCGCGATGCGGGGTTGCTGCCACGGCTGTCGAGGCCCTGTGCGCGTGGCGTCCTGCTCGCTTGCCCGTGTCTCTCGCGCGCATGGGGCAGCCCTCCCTTTTGGGGCGAAGCAGAGCTCACGAGTCGCTGTTCCCGATTGCTCCCGTGGAACAAATCGAAGCAGAAAAAAAGCCATACACATAAATTGGTGGCGCCTGCGCCGCAGAGGGGCCCAGCGCGGATCCCAGAACTCCGCGCGTGCGCGCGGAGCGCCACAAGTTTAGGTGTATGCCAGTTTTCCTTCATCTACAACTGTTACGACGGGCATCGCTGCCGGATCGATCCGGCTCGCGAGACGCCGCAGAACGGTGGGGCCGATGGCCCACGGCGCCTTTCGAAGGACGGGCTCCCGCGGTGTCTGCTGCTCCCGTGCACAGCTGGGTGTCGCGGGGAGCAGCAGGACGCAGGGGAGGCGGAGAGGCGGAGAGACGGAGAGACAGGCCAAGGGAGACAGAGAGATAGGTAGCAGCCCGCAGCTGCGGATAAGAGTGACAGTGCGGGCGCGGGGTGGGTCGCAGGGCGGGTCGCGGAGCGGGTCGCGGGTGGGTCGCGGGTGGGTCGCGGGCCGGGCCGCTACAGGGGCGACGGGTCGCGAGAGGGACGACGACAACAATGCAACGCAACGCAACGCAGCAACAATCCGCACCGCGGAAACCCACTTCAGCCACGCACCCAGGGACACTGAATGACCGGTCGGCCCCTCGTTATGGAGATGGAGAGGGAGGGGCCACTGGGGGAGAGAATGGACAGAGTGGAGAGCGGAGAAGGTAAATCGAGGGATGTACCCGTATGTCTTCGGAGCAGATGCGTATCCCCCCGATCGGGACTTCGGCCTGGCCGCAGGTGTGTTGGCTTCCCCCTCCGCCCCCGCTGCGATCCTCCAACCTCGGTGGACATTCCGTCAGTTCGAGGCCCACGACCGAGGAGCCCTTCATCCGCGTCGGCATTGCGACTGTGAACCATCGGCGGAGTTCTGCTATTGGAGCACAGCCTTCCCCGTGACACATCTCTCGGCTGCTCCTCTCGTTGCCTTCCCCTCCAGTTGTCCAAGGCGATTGCGCCCTCCCTTATTGCTCTTGCGGCCTCGGGTCAGGTTGTTGTCCAGCGGGAGAGCGCCCTCGCTGACTTCGGTGCCCCGCGGGGGGTGGGGAGGTCGGGGGGAAGACAGACAAATTGAGGTCGGCAGCGCGAGTCTGGGGGAGCTGCTGCAGGCTGCTCTTGGCATGTATTGTTTGGTTGGGGTGTTTACAGGCCTCCCAGATACTAGATGGGATCCGAGTGAATGGGGTCGGAGGATTACACCGCATCGCCGATCCATCGGCGACGTGGGAGTGGACAAAAAAACGGGCTCCACATCGAGCCGCATCGCCGATGCATCGGCGATGCGACGCGATCCTCCGACCCCATCTACACCGACACCATCTGGGAGGCCTAGGCGGTTTTAGCACAGCAAAGACGCAGAAACCATGATCAGTGTGTACTCGGGACGGGCCCCGGTTTTCGGGCCGCTCCTCAGATTCAATTCGAGGGGCCCTGTTCGTGGACGAGGCGGCAACACCACACCGCTCACCCTCTGGGACTTCGCCTCCGGCTCCTGTCCAAGGTGTACCTTTTTCCTGTGCAAGCTCCTCAGCACCGCCTGCACCCCGCGCCCTCCGGCCGCCTGAGGCCCCGCCCGCCTGCGCTCCGTCTCCCCGATTAGTGCTTTGCGCGGCCCGCCTAGCTCTTGACCAGAAGAGGCTCGCTCTCGACCCGCAGACCAAAAAAGTTCGTGGACGAGGCTCCCTTTTGGCCAAACGAGTCCCGTTGCTTCTCACTCAGCGCTCCCTGTGGCAGCACGAGGGGTATGTTTAGGTTCGTGGTGCGAGGGCCCTGCCTCGTGCACACGCCGATTCTGCCAGCGCGACCTACTGGCCCTCGCACGCACCGCGTCGCAGAGGCTACGCTCTCAGTGGTCACCTGTTGGCCCACCGCAACCGCTGCGCAGGTCCTGTCCTAGAGGTCTCGAAGTCTTTCGTCGCGTGGGAGTCGGCGGCAGGGGCGTGCAGCGGTGATCGAGTCATGGAACTGTTCGGGAGCTCCTTGTGTGGTGGAGCCTCTGGTTGTGGCGGTGGCCAGTTCGCCGCAGCACGTGGGACATGTTGCCAAGCCCGTGGTCTCCCCCCGCCCCCGCTGCTCCCTCCGCTCCCTCAATCTCCGACCCTTCGGGGCCGTGCGTCGCATGTTCAGGTCCCGGCGTTGGACAGGCAGCGTCAAGGGGTGCAGCTCGCCACAACCACCTAGGACGTTCAAGAAAGGGCCCCGTCAGCTGGGATCCGAAGGGTTGATCTCCCCTCTCGGGACGAGGCGAGCAGCAGGTCCAACATTTGCGGGGAAAAAGACGAAGGCGACTCCGCCAGCGGAAGGCCAATGGAATCCATCCGAAGTAAGAATGTAACCTTCGAAGGGACGGCAATGTTGGTTTGCGCAGGGCCGTCGATGCCTGCCCTCCTCGAGCCAAGCACAACCATCTCTGCTCAGAGCGACACAGACTGCGATGCCGCATCCCCCCTTGAGCGACACCTGCGAAGAACAGAAATCGAGGCTGATGCCCTTCCCCCGTTTTCACTTTCGGGGCTTCCCAGGGAGCTTGCTTGACAATGTCTCGCCGAACATGCGATTGCCCCAGCGAGCGCACAGAAAGCAACAATTTGCCCGGTCCCCGTGGTGAGTAGGCCAGACGCGAGCGCGGCACTCCCACTCACGGCATTGAAGTGCCCGGCGCGATCCGATCACAAATTATGGGCACAGTTGCTTCGCCGGAGTGACCTCTGGTGCGTGACCAATGGGGCCCCTCGATCGCTGAATGCGATGCGACAGCGGTGGCTTGCGCGCCAAGCGGTGTGCCCAGATGATCCCCCTTTAGGCCGCGCGCCAAAGGTCTCTCTTGCACAGGGTCACTCTTGCGTGCAGCCGAGTAGGCCTCTTGGTGACGAGATTGGTTCGGATGAGCGTGGCCCAGAGGCGGAGAATTGCTGCCCCGACGAGCGGCGAGAGGCGCGTACCTGTGATCGCGGAAATTCAAGGAGCTGCACCCAAGATGCATTGCCCACGACAGGTTCTGCGACCCTGTCATTGTCGTAACCTCCAGCCTCCGCTGTTTCCGCCAGCAAGCTGCGACGTCGTGTGCACAATCGTTGCTCTCACCGACATGCATTGCGACAGAGGATGCAGGGTAGACCTATATACCCGTCGGTCGTTGGAAGTTGGTATTTCTGGATGCCCAGATCCCAATACACTTTAGGCGACTTCCTCCTTCAAGAAACGATCTTATATTGCTATACTTTGTTGCTTTCTGGGAGGGCCTGAATCAAATCTACGTTATCCGGCTTCGTCCGTATCGTGGTGACCTACTTTTTCTCACCGACGTGTATATATAGTTATACCTATGCACATGCAGGTATATTCGGAAACACTTTGTGTTCCATACATGCGTAGATGCATGTACGCACACATCGATTCAATCGTCTTGCCGCCGACCTGGTCTGGAGCTCGACGCACACGTGGCCGCACGTCCTTCCAGCGCTCGGCCCCCGCGCCCAGCCGAGTACGCCGGCCCCCGGCGTGTGCCTCGAGCGCTCGGTTCCCCCCAGGCCCAGCAGGTGCGTCTGACCACCTGCTTGTGTATTCCCTAGGCGATGCTTAAGAAAACTGTCGTTTTCGGCTAGAGTCTCGATGATTCTTGATGTTTTAATCTAAATCCTAAGCTTTTGATCGACATCCTGGGTTTTTATTCAAACTCTGAGACTCTGAATGTCTTACCTCTTAACCCATGATTTCTGAAGCATTTCGCAGGGTGTATGTTCCGGCGTATTCGCGGCGTTTTTAGAACCCTCCTTGCCAACATGTTTTCAGTCTTTTCGTTCCCTCTGGTGATGATGCTGATGATGAGGATGGTGATGCTGATGATGATGATGATGGTGGTTTTAGTGATCATGCGGATGATGATGGTAAATGATGATGTTGATGGTCATGATGTGATGACGATGGCGATGACGATGGTGGTGATGCTGATGATGAAGATGATGAAGATGATGATGATGATGGTGATGATGATGATGATGATGATGTTGGTGATGCTCATGATGCTGATGACGATGGTGGGCATGCTTATGGTGATCGTGTTGATGATGATGATGCTGATGATGATGATGAGGATGATGATGATGATGGTGATGCTGATGATGATGATGATGGTGATGGCCATGCTGATGATGATGATGATGCTAATAGTAGTGGTGGTGATGATGCTGATAAATTGGGTAAACATGTTGCTTGTCATGGTGCTGATTATGATGCCGATTGTAGTTATTATTCTTAGCATGGTAGAAGTATCGTGATTGTGCTATCTTGATGGTGAGGATGCTGATGGCACTGTTTTTGGTGGTTATGATCATGATGACAACGACGTTGACGATGCTAATGATGAAGATGAGGAAGATGATGCTGACCATCATCATCCTCCTCCTCATCATCCTCATCATCATCATCATCATCATCATCATCATCATTATCATCATCTGTCCCTGCTGCCGCTGAAGCGCAGATCCATGTCGTGACAACCTGGCTCGCACGGGGCTCTGTTTTCGCGCGTTGTTAGCGCTTGCTCGGCGCTTTCGAGCCACCTTGGCTACGGAAATGGTGTGGGAATAACCCGACCATAATCAATTGTGAATATCGTCTTCTGTGGATCTGTATTGTGAAGGCCTTGCGGCCGCCGTGACCGACCCTGAAGGGGGACGTCGACGACGACGGCGGCGGTGGCGGCAGCGACGACGACAATGACGCGTGCCCGAATCCTCAGGGATGCTTCTTGGGGTCTCTGGGGAAGGCTCTCGGGAGCCTCCGGGAAGGATTTTGGGGGTCTCTTGGGAGGCTCTTGGGGGCTTCTTGGGAGCCTTTTCGGGTGTCCTGCGGGCCTCTTGTAGGCTTCCTAGGGCCTCTTGGGGACCTCTTGGGACCTCCTGGGAGCTTCTCGGGGCCGAAGGCTCGAAGTGTCCGTTCGGGTTCCCCGTCAAGGCACGCTCTTGGGGCTGTCTTGGGGGCCTCTTGGGCCGTCTTGGAGGCGTTTGGGGCTGCCTTGGGGTTCTCTTGGGATGTTTGGAGCGCTCTTGGAAGCCTCTTGGGCCGTCAAGGGGCGATCTTGAGAGCCTCTTCGGTTGTCTTGGGCCGGCGGGAAGGGCAACAGGCGAGAACACCCAAACAGGTCAAACAACTAAGGGAAATCTATGATTGTTGCCTCTCGGGGCCCTCTCGGGAGTGCCTTTGGAGGCCTCTTGGGACCCCATTGGGCACCCTGTGGAAGAGTCTTGGAAGTCTGGGGGCCTCTAGGAGGTCTCGTGGAGAATTCCTTGAGGGCTTCTTGGACCGCGCGGAGGGTCCGGGACCGCGTGAGGATTTCGGAATCGCGCGCGGGGGAAGCGTATCTGGGTGGCGACCCCCCCCTGGGACCCCCCCCCAGCGCAGGGAAGGGATCAAAGGAACGGGGCTTCCCTTCGATTCGATTACGACATTGCGAGGTTCTGCTTTCGCAGGAGGGTGCCGGGAAAGGAGGCGACGCAGACGACGACTGACGGAGACGAAGACTCGAACAGACAAACCTCTCGCACACGCCACTGTGGATCTTTATTTAGGGCCACGAGCTGTGCGATCGGTGTGCCAAGATTGGGGGGGCTAACGCGACTCCTGCCACTGCGGCCCTCTGTATGGCCCCCTCGGTCTACGCAGCGTGTGAGGGGCGTAGCGACATGGCGGGGAGACGCATGTGTTTCTTGCCTCTGCGGCCTGCGGTAGAGCCATAGGCGGGGAGACGCATGTTTTTTCCTGCTTCTGCGGCCTGCAGTAGAGCTCCCTGTGGAGCCACGGGGCACTAGGAGTGTGCCAGAATTTGCCAGGGAAACAGATAATTCCTGCCACTGTTGCCTTGGGAGGAGCTCCCTGTTGAGCCAGGATGCGCGTGATAGGGTGTGCCAAATCGGCAGTGGGGAAACAGGTGATTCCTGCTAGAGCGGCTTTCGGCAAGGCTCCCCATGGGGCCACGAAGCGTGTGAAGAGTGTGCCGAAATGGGCGGGGGGCCTCTGTGGCCTCCGGTGGAGCTCTTTATGGGGCCACGAGACGTGAAAGGGGTGTGGCACAACGGGCGGGAAACGCGAGTGATTTCTGCAATTGCGGCCTTCGGTGGATCTCCTTGTGGCGGCGCCAAACGTGTGAGTGGTGTGTCAAAATGGGCGGGGGGTCGCATGTGATTCCTGCCGCTGCGGCCTTCGGTGGAGCTACCAATGATGTGCCCCCGAAACGTGTGAGCGTTTTGCTACAATTTGCGGGGGGACGCGTGTGATTCCTGCCATTGCTGCCTTCCGTGGAGTTCCCCATGTGGAAACGAAACGTGTGAAGGAATGCCGAAATGGGCGGGGGGACGCATGTGATTCCTGCCGCTGCGACCTTCCATGGAGCTCTCTAAATGGCCAGGAAACGGTTCAGGGGTGTGCTGGAGTGGGAGGGGGACGCAGGTGATTCCTGCCGCTGCGGCCTTCCGCGGAGCCCCCTATGTGACTACGAAACGTGTGAGGGGTGTGCCGAGGCAGACGCACGCGGATGGCAGAGGTAAGTATGGGAGAAGAAGGGGAGGAGGGAGGAGGCGGATGAGGAGGCGGATAAGGAGGCGGATGAGGATGAGGATGAGGATGAGGATGAGGATGAGGATGATGATGATGATGATGAGGAGGAGGAGGAGGAGGAGGAGGAGGAGGTGGTGTGAGACGCGGGGCATTTTTGATTCAAAGCGAGGGCGAGGCACCACAGGATGCCCGGATCAAACATTCCGCCTTGCCTTACGCCCATCCCTCCATGTTGCCAATCGCGCCCCCGTCCGTCTCCCACCTGCGCCCCCTGCCACCTCCACGCTGCTCTCTCTCAGCGCGGCCGCTGTCTCCACGCCGCCCTCCCTCAGCGCGGCAGCTGCCTAACTTGGACCGGCCGTGCGTGCTCCAGCCATACTTCGAGTGGGCTGGGGGGGGGGAGGCGCAGGGGCGATCGCGGAGGAGAGAGGCTGACAGGGTCGAGGCTGCGGGGGGAAAGGGGAGCAGGCTGGGAAAAGGGGCCAGGCGGCGCGACGCCGAGAGGCCGCCAGGGGAGGGGGCGCAGGAGCATGCAGTCAACTTCCAGAGGTAGCACGTGACCAGTCATCATTGCTGCCAGTGCATGCTTTTCCTGCCCAGCCCACCGTTGGCCTATCTTGCCTGCGCCAGTTGTTCGCCGGTGCCAGAGTTCCGAATGTCTTGCGCCCTTCCTCTGCAGCCTCGCTCTGGTTGTTGAGTGCGCACGCCATCCAGGGAACATGGCATTTGCGTGTCTGGGGCGACGGCCCCCATTCCTTGCGGCTTGTCAGAGGGCAGAGACCCTGGGCACAAAGCGGGCCATTGCATGCCGTCCCTCCGAATGTGTCAGCTGAGGGCACGCACTCATGTAATGTACGACGTTCTGCAATCGCCGAGCTGGGCTGTACTCAGGGAAGGGGCGGATGCGCAAGGTGGTGGAGCGTGCTCGGCGAAGGAACTGTCCGTCCATCGTTGATCTGGATCCGACCTGATCAGATTTGATACCAGTTTCAGCCGGCTGGGTGCGATTCGGTTCCGATGACTCGACGGCTCGATGCGGCCCGAAGCCTGCACGGGATGCTGTGTGGTGGCGTTTGGCGCTTAGGAGTCTGCGGCTCCCTGCCGGCCAGGCCCACGCGGAGCCGTAGAATTTTAGAAGGCGGTCTCTGCTCGGAGGGCTTTGGGATGAGCCAAGGACGGAGAGCGGAATGAGGCAGGAGGTACGAGCGATGAGGGAACGCTCGCAAGCATCGCCCCCGCACGTCTTCCTACTTTGCCGTTGCCTGCCATATCCCTTGATGTCACTCCTTCGTCCAGGTCTGCCACTCGTAGCCCCGTCTGCGCGAATGTGTTTGTGGGAAGGTCCGCTTCAGGAACCAAGATGGTTCAGGCAACGACCGCTTCATGCCTGAATAGATGGCCACAGGAATTGCAACGGTGACGCATGGTGTGTAGACTTGTTCCGTTCGCAGCATGTGCTTGAGTCAATGGTTGTGGCGTGTTTTGCGTTATGATGGTATCGGCATGTCCGTGTCAGCACCTGGAGGTACTCGCGGCCAGGGTGGAATTAGGAGGCAATGAGAATGCATGACTATTGGTCGACTGTCAAGTGATAAGTCCAAATGTGTCGGATGCACGACTGTCGGTGTCAGTTCATTGGATTCGCTTGGTGTCGTGCGATGGGCGCTTTTGGCGAAGAGCAGCGATTAGATGGCATTTGTTCCTGTCGTGCAACGAAACTAGCAGATCGCCGGCTAGTTTGAGAATTCCGATGCCTGGTGTGCATCCCGGGATCACGGGGCCCCCACACAACCGTCATGTACGTGTGTGGGATTTCACAGACTGCGATGTTGCAGCAATTGCGCTTGAAGATTGCACCGCGCAGAGTTCCTTCAGTTTTTTTCCCCGACCTGGAACCGCACCCGTGGGCCGGCGTTCCCTTGAGCCACAAGCGCGCTTCCTGATGTGCGCCCCCACTCCGCACTGGCGGCAAGCCTCATCGCCACTGTGGCGCGCGCGGGCCCGCGAGACGCCGACGAGCTTCCCCGTTCGAGCGACCGGCGACGACGAGCGACGCCGAGCGACGAGTGAGGATGCCGACGAGGGACGACGACGCCGACGACGACTGCACCGACGAGCGACGACGACGAGCAGCTGCGAGACGAGCGGCGCCTCCGACGGCGCGCTCGGCGAGCGGCGGAGCGCCGACGCCCCCACGAGCGACGGGCGACGAGGCCCCGTCGGCCGGAGCACCCCCGCCGCAGGGCAAGCGCGTCGAGGGCGGGGAGGGCCACGGCCCACGGAAGGACGCGCCCGCGCCCGCGCCCGCCCGCGGGGCCGCCCGCGGGGGCGGCCGGCGGCCCCGCGGGCGGCACGCCGCCGGCGGCGGCCTCGGCACGCTTGCCGCTCGCCGCCGCCGGCGGCGTCAGAGAAGACCAGCATCGTCTCAAGAAGTTGCAGAGTTTGCCAGCCTGGAACATATCCCTATCCCGATGCTGGGCACCTCCTCGTCACCATGCCAATCTTAGGGATTCCCTTGTTTTTTGAGGGCGGATCCCTCAGATTGTCATCGCCTTTGGGCGTGTCCATCTTAGGGATAGGGATACGTTCGAGGCTGGTAAAGAGTGCGAGCCGCTTTTCGGTCGCAGCGCGGGTCGCAAGGTGATTGCACGCGTCTCGAAACACTGCAGACTGGCGCTCCTGAGCGCTTCCCTGTCGAGTGGCGTGCGTCCTGGCTCCGCGTCGCCGCGGGCGCCCCGCCGGGAGCCGTGGGCGCCGCCGTTGTCGTCGGAGGCTTTCCTGGACCTCCGCCACCACGCAGCGATTCATGGATCCTCGGGGGAGAGAGGGAGGTCAGAGCCCCGAATCATCAGGGGTAACTCGGGTCAGGGATAACTCGGGTTCGCTTTTTCGGGAATCCGAACCCGAGTTATCCCGGACCCGAGTTACCCCGGATAACTCGGGCGTCCAGAGCCCCGAATCATCAGGGGTAATTCGGGTCAGGGATAACTCGGGTTCGTTTTTCGGGAATCCAAACCCGAGTTACCCCGGACCCGAGTTACCCCGGATAACTCGGGCGTCCAAGGAGGGGAGGGGAGGGGAGGGAGGAGGACCGGTTGAGACAGCGGCGGCTCTCTTCCTGGCGTGCCGCGTATACCCTGTGGGCCTCCCCCGGGGGCTTCTCGTCGCCACGACTGCACCGGCGCCGGAGAGCGAGCGGGTCGGGGTGTCGCCCGGGAGGGGTCCGCGGACTGGTTTCGAGCGGATGTGGTCCGGGCGGGAGGGATGTCGCTTCCGCCGCAGTTGTCTCAACAGGCCCTCCTCCGAGGGCGGGAGGGAGGAAGGATGCTTTGTCGTCGGCAAGAGGAGCTGTGAAGCATTCGGGGGGTGCACGGGCGTCTCCCGTACGATAGGTGTGAGTCGTCTCATGGGGGCCATTGGGCGTCTCCATTTGTATTTCGCGTATCAGACGGCAGTACGATGACACACCTTCTGCGTACATCATATCGTATACGAGATTGCGCTTGTACGCCCGAGCACTTGTCACATGTCCATGAATATGAGGGTGATCAGGCATGTGTATACACATGCCTGGAGAGAGATGTCGTATCCCACCATCGGGGGCATGAGCTTATTCTTGAAGTGACGGACGCTTCGCGACAGAATCAAGATGGAGTGTTTCAGAACGAACTCGGGATTTTGATTTTCGCAATCGCGAATATGTTCTTGACGCATTCCCAGGTCTACTTGCACACTGGGAGGACGTAGTTTGAGATCTCGTTGGTTTGGTTTGGTGAGCCTTCCGAAGGGCCGTATGCAGAGCGGATGTTGTTTTTTCGTGTTGGTTATTTCGCGCAGCTGTTGTGAGGGACCAGTATGGGTTATCGTGCTTGGGGTCAGTCGGTGGTGCGTCTGCAAACGCCGAGTGTACCTTGACCTGGGCTTGCTGGACCAGCAGCGACAAGGAGACGCTAAATACGCCAGAAGCGTTTCCTTGAATTGAACAACGCGCTCCCTCCCATCCCTTCCCGTTGCGCTGATGTTTCTCTATCCGCGGACGCGTTTCATAGCCGAAGTGGAACTCCATTACCCCTGTAAAGCACCCTAATAGCAGCAGAGGTGATCTGTGGGACCTGGGGGTCTGGTGGGAGCTGTGGGACTTGTGCGATCTGTGGGACCTCTGGAGCCTGTGGGACTTCTATGGCCTTTGGGACCTCTGGGACCTGTGGGACCTGCGGGTCAGGTGGGAACTGTGTACCTCTGCGACTTGCTGGACTTGTCGGACCTGTGCGACCTGGGGAGCTCTGTGGCTTGTGCGGCTTGTGAGACCTGCGGCACCTGCGGGATCTGCGGGACCTGTGCGACCTGTTGGAATTGTGGGACTTGTGAGACCTGCGGCCCTGGCAGGACCTTTGGGACTTGTGGGACCTGGGGGACCTCTGAAAGACTTGTGGGACCTGTGTTGAGCACTTGGCTTAGCGTGTCGCGCCGCCGTTTCTGGCCCACCATCTTGCGGCGCGACGCGCTGCCGACGTCCCGAACCACAAGTGTCAGCGTCCCGAGCCTTGTCCAGTCTCCCGCTCCGCGATGTAGAGCGACATGCCATTCGCTTGCAAGGCATAGCAGTTCGCCGTGGCCGCCGCTGCGAGGGGCTAAGCAGCCATTGCCGACCGCAGGTGCGCTCGCGCCATATCGGACATCCGACCCTTCCCGCCCAATCCTTGTCTTTGCGCTACTTGTTCCCAACCCGCCGACGCGTGTCGCCTGGCATAGCGGGCCTAGACCCCCCAAAAGCACCATGCGCAGTCACACGAAGTGAGCTGCAGACATTAGAGAATGAGGTGGCGGACGAACAGAAGGATGAGCAGGAGGATGAAGAGGAAGAGGATGAGGATGGAGGAGGAGGAGGAGGAGGAGGAGGAGGAGGAGGAGAGAGGAGGAGGAGGAGGAGTAGGAGGAGGTGGAGGAGGAGGCGGAGGAGGAACAGCAGCAGCAGGAGCAGGAGGGGGAGAAGCGGGAGGAGCAGAATAACCAGGGGTTAGCGGGGGAGGAAAAAGGAGCGAGTCGACACCGATGAAGAAGCACTCGGATCCTGACCATTGGCCAGCTCTGGGTCGAGAGCGCCATTCTGGACGATCGGAGCACCGCGCCGATCTTGAGACGAGGCTGACCCTGCAGGAGGAGGAGGAGGAGGAGGAGGAGGAGGAGCACACCGAAGCGGTCCGATTGAAAACACGTAGTTGCTGCAAACCCGCATAGCAAGGATGAGCAGCTTTCCAAGGCTACCCTCGCGTCCTTGGCCCCTGCGGCGCATCCTTGGCCGCTTCCGCTGGCAGCGCCACGCCCGCAGAGTGTCGACGTGGCCTTCAGAGGGCCTCTGCATCCTTCTCGCGCGTGCCTGGGAGAAGGGCCGGCTGTCTGCAGGACATGCCAGTGTGTGGACGCCCGCGCGTAGAGAACAGCACATCGCGGAGGGGCGCCTCCCCGGGCCGCCTCCGGGGGACGGGGGGGGAGTCGTGCTCGTGTGGAAGAGGGTGCAGAGAGAAGGCGGGGGAGGGAGGGAGTGCGTGCTTGCTCGTGGCGATTCGGAGGAGGAGTTCTGATGGACGATCTCTCCACCCATCTGCCTTGCTGCCTGGCAGGCGTATACTCTGTGCCCGTTCGGGCTGGCATCTCCACCTTGGCCTCTTTTGCCTTTCTTGATCATCTGCGCTTGTCCGGCTTGATTGGCTGGCCTCTATAGGCCGAAGGGGGTATATTCAAGATTTGTTTCTATCCGCGACTCGCTACAGCACGCAGGCTCAAGCTCGCGGAAGATCAAAAAGGAGGGAGGGAAGGAAGGAGAGACGCTTGTTTGTTCAACGCGGGGCTTGGGCTTCACCTTGATCCGTCCTCTCGGGCCTGGGGCGGGCGGCGCGTATACCGCTTACGCCGCCGCCCAGACCTTACGATAAAAATCGGCGTCACCCCAGCGTACTTATCCTATATGTGCGTCGCCCCCCCCCCAGGTGCGACGCGCGCACCGGGAAATCCCATAGTACGTGCGTCGCGGTGGGCGCTTCCTGGCCACGCCGCTCGTATGTTCGGGTCGGACGCGCGCCTCCCAGGAGGACATACAGCACCAGTATGTCCCCGCGCGTCCCCGAAAAAGGCAGGCGCCCCAGCCGGCGGGAAGGACGACCCGCGCAGGATGCCTCCGCCTCCCGACGTCCGGAGGGGCCCCTGCGCGCGTGCCCCTCGGCATGCCGCGCCCCTCGCCCTGCCCCTGGCACGGGCTCGGCTGGCCGCGATCCTGGCCAGCGGATCGGAGGAAGGGGGAGGGTGGCTCTCCCAGACGTCGGGCGTCTCGGAAAAATCGAGACGGAGGTTTTTCGTCGTTCTCGGCCTCTCGGGGCCCTCGCCGGGCCTCGGGACCGTCAAAAATCGATTCGGAGTGAAAAACCGGTCCCGGGGAAGTGGTCGGGAGGTCGGGGGCCCGTGTCTCGAAAAAATCGAAACGTCGGATGTCTGAGCCCTGGGACTGTCTCTGGGGCCTCTTGCGGCACTCTTGGCCCGTCCTGGGCCTTTTTTTGGGGGCTCCGGGACTCCCAGGGGCGGCGTCGTATCTGACCCCCACCCCCCTCCCCGGGACCACCCCCCGGGACCCCCCCCCTCCCCAGGACCCCCCCCCGGGACCCCCCCTCCCTGGTCCCCCCCGGGGCGGGGGGGAGGCGGAGGCGGGGAAGAGAGGGGGTGAGAGGGGGGAATCAGCGGCCAGGTCGCGGCCTGCTCCTCGGGAGAGCCAAGGGGAAGATCGACCACCACCTGTTCCGCCTCGGCATCCTCGGAACACTCCAAGTGGGGCGGAAGCAGCACATCTGTGGCGGCACGATCTAGCTTTGTACTCTCCTCAGGCTCTGAGTCGGAGTCAGAACACCTATCTTATGTAAGGGGTCGCTCCTGCTGCTACCAAGAGACACAACACCCGCAAAGTCGGGCGCTGGGACCGTCCCCTCCTATGCGAGGCAGCCCAAGGACACAAAGAAATCGCCCAACGAATTTCTGATTTCCTCGAGGTCTGGCGGATACTCCGCGACAGCCACGTCATCAACGGAGGAGGGAGACTCAACGGGGGGAAGGAGGGATTGGACACAATCTACGATGGCCGTGGCTAATGCCTTGCACAAGCCAGCTGGGTAAGTCTTCTCGCTGGCTGTTGACAACTGGCCAGCCCGATTCTCTCCGAGTAGGACCTTGCAGGCCTGGCGCCCATGTGAGCACCTCCCTTCACCAGGGGTGGCCCTCAGCAAAGGGGGTACGGTAGGTT